GAGAGAACACACAGTGTTTCTCACTCTCTGACACAACTCCCAACAACCAATCACAAGAAAGAACCTGCGAAGATCACAATTGGAAATCACACTGAGATGAGCCACTCCAACAATTATCGTAACAGAGTTTGTTTCAGTATCTCGCCACTCTCAGAACTCACACCCCACTCTCTACCCTACACCCAGTTAGTAGCGCCACATCAGAACAGCCTCCGAGAGGCCAGCGCCAACCACCCTGATGAAGAACAGGTCCTGCGATGAAGTCTTCAGTGGAGATGGACAACTCTGACGAAGGAACAGGCAGCTATGGCTGCCACCACCCACGAGTACACAGTGTAGAGGCTCGATATAGCCCGGCCAGACGCAGATACCCCCAGGGGTAAGTGCGCTGAGGATGCCCCAGCTATGGCAGACTCAGACTGGGCCGGCTATGGCCGCTATCAACGACGAGTCTCATGATGCCGCCTGTAGACCATCACCACCACCAACTTGCTTGGCTTCTCCAACGCTGCTTCCTGAGAAATGAACTGCCAAACGTCCTGAACCAATGGGCCTAACCTATCTATAGACTACCTAGCCCTAGACCGGATTGACTGACCGACCGGTACCGTTGCTGTTTCGGCCTCTCGGCCTCTACCGGACCCAGCTATAGGCTATAGGACCGTCTAGCAGCATAGGCCGCTTAGGGCCTGTCTGTCCTAGGGGTAGCCCGGGCCTGCTATACGCAGTTAGGGTAGCAGTAGGAATTTGGGTTAGTACTAGCCTGTATTTTTCCCAGATTTGCAGATATGTCCCTCACGAATTTCCCTACAGGCAGGTCTCTCGGTTAGCCCTCAGTCAAACAAAATTACAAATCTAACCCTACCGGTTAATGTACAGCCTCGCAGTCAATCTCGGCAGTAGAAATCAGCAAGTCATTGCAGAATGGCAAAAGATCGCGGCAACGCCCGATCTCGAATTGCCATTTTCGCATCTGCGCCGGGAGTTCTACAACCGGTCATGTGCCGCCTTGAGCCTTGCACTTGGTGATCGCGAGCAATACGCAACCTTTGCCGAAATCATCGCCAAGGCAAGGGAGATCATCAAGACCAATAGGGCGGCTGCACACGAGAAGTCGGCATGGCAGCCAACCTATGTGGAGAAAGGAAAATTTGGTCCGCGTCCGCAACATGTTGCTGCAGTCCACACGAACAACATTGTGGAAGACCCGGCAGCCACCCAAGCATCACGTGAGGGAGATCAGGTGGGTGCTGTCCAGCCGCAAAGCAACAACTAGTCCCGAGGAAACGGGAAGGCGAAAACCGCATCGCCGACCGGAAACGGACAGCCAGCACCATGGGTCAAGTTTCACTTGACTGAGGCGGAATACAAGTGGCGCGGCCGCTACGGCTGCTGCTATTGGTGCAACAGCACCAAGCACAAGACCTCCCAATGCCCGGATTAAGGCAAGGAGGATGTTCGACCTCGCATCAAATCGGAAAACTGCGTTGCATGGGAGGTGAGGCGACTCCACCTCTCACTCCGCCAGATTCGGCCGCCTTGCTAGCGGCCTCCTACACATCAAGGGAGGATGCGAATGTCGTAAGTCCTCGGTTCACTTACGAGTATTATGCTGTCCACTTGGTCCCACCGTTGGACCAACCACTCCACGTGCAACAATCCACCTCATGCACGGTTTCACTACCATCGGCAACCGAGTCGGCAGCTTCGCCGCCATCTATAGCCGGGGATTCGACGACATGGTCAAGACTTGAAGAGCTCGACCCGTTGACGTTTGCGGACTTCCAATGGATGCCCCTTCCCCGGWCCGGTCRATTGCCGAAAYCKCATTGCAACGTGCTCATGGCACAATTGCGGGATTACTTGCACACTGCAGTACCAACTCCGTTGATGGACGCCGGAGTAGAGGTTGTCGACCTTCACGATTACATTGCGAAGATCGACCACGAGTTCAAGACACAACGGTACGACGACATCGACGCGCCATTGTTGTACATACGCATTCAGATCGGAGAGGCGACCTGCAGCGCTATGATCGATTGCGGAGCATCTCGCAACTACATGAGCCAGGACTTTATGGTACGCGCCGGCCTTGGCCGACACGTTCGGAGGAAGTCCCAGCCTACGCAAGTCACGTTGGCAGACGGTCACACGCACAAGTCAATCGACCGGTGCATTGATGACGTCCCGGTGTACTTTGCCCCGCATCCAAGCGAGGCGGCTTCCTTCGATATTTTGGACACCAAATTCGACATGATCTTGGGCATGTCATGGCTGCGAAACGAGGATCACCGGGTGAACTTCTACCGCCGCACCGTTCACGTTCGTGATCGGAACGGAGTACTAGTCCCATGCACGGTGCCTCCTCCTCACCCTTCGATCAGCTGCCACGTGGTGTACGCCGCAAGCATGCGAGCTTCCATCATCAGAGACGACATCGAGGAGATGGGGGTGTGTTTTCTCCATGCCCTCCCGCCCCATGACGCTTCATCGACGGACTCATCTTCGGACCCACGCATCACCGAGCTTCTCGACGCCTACGACAACGTGTTCGAAGGCCCGCACGGAGTAGTACCGGATCGGCCCATCCGCCACGAGATCATCCTCGCGGACGGGGCTGTACCTCCGCGTGGTTGCATCTACCGAATGAGCGAGGAAGAGCTAAGTGTGCCACAGGCACAACTCGACGACCTTCTTGAGAAAGGCCGGATTCGGCCTAGCTCCTCGCCATACGGTGCTCCCGTTCTCTTCGTCCGGAAGAAGAACAAGGATTTGCGGTTGTGCATCGATTATCGCAAGCTCAACGCGCAGACGATCAGGAACGTTGGCCCTCTCCCACGCATCGACGACCTTCTCGAGCGATTGGGCGGCGCCCAGTTCTTCTCTAAGTTGGATCTCAAGTCAGGGTACCACCAACTCGAGATTCGCAAGGAGGATCGCTACACGACCGCGTTCAAGACTCGGTATGGGCATTTCGAATGGCTGGTCATGCCATTTGGCCTTACGAATGCCCCAACCACTTTCCAAGCGGCTATGACGACGGAGTTCCGACACATGCTGGATCGTTTCGTACTTATATACCTCGACGACATCTTGTTGTACAGCCGGAGTCTGGACGAGCATGTGGAGCACCTGCGCACCGTTTTGGAGCGGCTACGATAAGCCAAGTACAAAGCCAACCGCGACAAATGCGAATTCACACTGGAGGAGCTGGAGTACTTGGGACATTATGTGACGCCGCAAGGCATCTGTCCGCTTGCGGACAAGATCGAGGCTCTTCTCGTATGGCCCGAGCCCACCAACACCACGGATGTCCGCTCATTCATGGGGTTGGCGGGCTACTATCAGCGATTCATCACCGGGTACTCAAGGATTGTTGCACCTATGAGGAGATTGCAATCGCCAAAGGTGCCATTCGTGTTCGATGATGACGCACTCGGTCATTCCAAGCACTCAAGACGGCCATGCTCATGGCACCCGTCCTTAGCATCTATGACCCCACCCTGCCAACGAGAGTGACAACCGACGCTTCTGGCTATGGCATTGGGGCAGTCTTGGAACAACACGATGGCGACGACTGGCACCCTGTGGAGTATTTCAGCCACAAAGTGCCTCCCATCAATTCACTTGATGATGTAAGGAAGAAGGAGCTCCTCGCATTCGTGATGGCTCTCAAGTGATGGTGGCACTTCCTCCTTGGGCGTCGTAGGTTCACATGGGTCACGGACAACAACCCATTGACCTACTACAAGACACAGGATACGGTGAGCAGCACGATCGGACGATGGATGTACTTCATCGACCAATTTGACTTCACACCGAAACATCTCCCCGGCCTCTTCAATCGCGCAGCAGATGCACTCTCGCGAAGACCTGATCTTTGCGCTATGACACATCATGCTTTTGCATTTGATGAGGAACTCCAGCGACACTTCATCCGGGGCTATGAGTCTGATCCGGACTTCGCCACGTTGTATGCGCAGCTATCTTCGGATCACCCACCGACCAGCCACTATTGCATTGCCGACGGGTACTTGCTCCTCCACTCGAGAGGCAAGTTGTGTGTCCCACGAGACCGTCGTCTTCGGACTCACCTTCTCAGGGAGTACCATGACTCGCGACTCGCTGGCCATTTCGGAGTCAACCGCACTATTGCACGGCTTCGACAACGAGTCCGATGGCCCGACCTCATTACCGATGTCACTCGGTATTGCGACTCTTGCGAAGTTTGCCGACGAAGCAAGCCCCGCAATCGCAACCCCTACGGCGACTTGCGCCTGATGCCTATCCCACGGGAACCCGGCCTCTTCATTGCCATGGATGTCACTGGACCATTCCCCTGCGATCGCCTCGGGCACGACGGCATCCTCACGGTCGTGGACCGTTTGAGTAAGTACGAGCGTTTTCTCCCTTGAAAGTACTACTCCACAGCTCCCGAGCTGGCACGCCTCTTGCACACCAGCTGGATTTGCGGCCACGGTGTACCGGAAGACATAGTCAACGACTGCGACACTCGCTTCATGTCGGCATTTTGGACTGCTCTCATGCAGGAGTCCGACACGAAGATGAAACCAAGTTCCGCTCGGCATCCACAGACGGACGGGCAAACGGAGCGGGCACATCAATCCGCTCAAATAATGCTTCGTACGCTCATCCGTCTAGACCGCGTCATCACCGATCGCAAGTACGACAGCAAGCCTCGACAGTACAAGGTTACATTCAAATCATGCGATCGCGACGACACTCGGTGGATTTCAGGAGCAGATTTGAAAGCATCCGCACCGCTGATCTACGCTCATTACGAGAAGCAAAGGTTAGCTCAGGGAACTTCACGGGTACGGCTGAGACTCTATGAACCGGACCACTAGTTGCTACTAAACCACCTGGAGGGGGCATGCCAAACATAGGAGAGAAAGTTGGCCCTATGGGTTGCGGCATCGGCGAAGGACCCGCATCCGCAGGGGGAACTACAGCAAACTGTGGCTGCCTCATCATTGTACGAGGAGCCCGAAGTTCAGCCATGATTTGTTTTTGGCCTGCTACCAATTCGGCCAGCAATTCCTGCTGGACATTCTGCGCTTCTGCCACTGATAGTAAAGCATTACGCAGCAAACGGACAGCAGGGTCTAATGCCGCCTCATCTAGCCCTTCCAGTCTGCCTAGCTCCTGCACTCTACTTCCTAGTCTAGCCTTTCTGAGTATGGCTCTTCTTCTCCTCTCTGCTGCTTCGTCCAACTGCCGCTGCAGCTCATCCTAAAGTTCTTCTGCCTGTCGGATTTTTAAATCCTCCGGTGTGAGTGGACTCTGCTGGCTGATGTGCAAACCAGCAGACTGACTAACTGCACCCGATCCACCCTGCCCTGCTCCTGACGAAGAAGTCCGGGAAGAGGTTTGTGACGTAGAGGCGGCGGTAGCCATCGCAGCCGCTAAGCTGGCTGCTGCGTCCCTAATCCTCCTCGTTGCTACCCTCTCCCTTGCTTCTCTTCGTAGTCTCCTTTCCTCCCCTGGAGCTAACTCCTGGAAAGTGATTGGTTGACTAAGAGCGGTTCTCCGTGTGATCCTAAGGGGTTGCACTAGCCTTCCCTCCTCCTCACTGCTGTCTTCACTCATGAGCTACAGTGTGTGTGCTCTAAACTAGAATTCACACTGAATCCTACCTTAGCATGACACACAACCGCATATGATACACAACCACTTACGGTCGGCCTGAACAGAAACAGTTAGGTGATGTAGTTGCAACTAATGTCAGGTCCTACATGATATATTAAATCTATTTTTAGATTACTCTAATACAGATAGCATTGCAGCAAAGACCTAGTCTGTCTGTAGCTGTCTGTCAGTTGTTAGACAAGTCCGTAACAACTAAATAATCAAAACAGAAATAACATCTCCTGTTGGAGATGTACACTAGATGGCAAATTGTCTAATTATAGCCACTGTGAACTATTACCGGAATCCCCCCTCCCTCTGTGTCCTTCTTGAGTGGTCGCTTTGTGTCAACGTCCTGAGCATCTGGTTGAGCAGCATGTCTGAAGGTGTGCAATCCTGCCCACCCCTGTGCCCCAAGTCAACGCCGAACCTGCCAGCCCTTGCACTTTATTTATCCTCGCATGCAACGAGCCTTCCACCTGGTTTGATCTGGCTGATCAGGAGGGATTTAAGGAGAGCCCCCATCTCCTCAGAAATTATTTAACGTTGCAGACAGGACGACGATCACAGCCAGGTTCAACACCAAGTCCGCAGCCAGAAATATTTAAAGACGGTCTGGTAAGCGTCTGACCAAAGGGCTGGCATGCCCTGCATGACCTCTATTGCGCAAGCAGTAGAACCAAGGACTTGTTGCCAAGCATGCGTGTACTAGTCCCAGCGGGTTGACATGGTGACCGTGACCCGAGTGCTTCGTCCAGGGCCTTTCAGAGGCTTCGCCGTCTCTCACCAGCTTGCTTCCCAGGACGAATGTCGACTCTCAAGGTTGAGCGCTCGCGACACCTCACATCGAGAGGACTCTCAAGACAGAACTCACTTCCTCACGGTAAGAAGTAACGAAGAGGGTAGATAAGGAAGAGAGCAACGTGCCTCATAATGCTGCCCCCAACCACAAATTTCTCACCGGCAACCTGATGTGCATTTATGATGACCGGTCTTTGCCTCGGCACAACCAACAGTAGAATGTAGTTCCACCTCGGCTTAATATGTCACATCAGCGAGCTCTCATCATCCAGCATACACCCCGTATGTCACCACATAGCTCCCTGGCGCGCCCACTCTACCCTGGGCCGCCCAATGTTCAACGCCAATGCCTTATCACTGCCCCACACCTCATGCGAAGCACCAATAGCTATTGCGAATAACCAATGAAGCGCAATATGAACCAGCTCCGATACTAAATTGCAAGGAAAATAAGCAACATCGAGATGACAATTCCAGATTACACCATCACATTGAAAGCCAGATAGTCACACCGTGTCCAGAGAGCAGCATTGCACCAATAATACACCAATGGAGNCAGATTACACCATCACATTGAAAGCCAGATAGTCACACCGTGTCCAGAGAGCAGCATTGCACCAATAATACACCAATGGAGGTTCATAGTACTGAAAACCAATGGCATGGAGAGCATACTCTCTCCTCATCAACACAAGAGTCCAGTCCCTTCACTCTCCTACTTAGCGCTCAGCGCCCAGCCTACTCCTAACACAACTACTACAGCCTACTAATTGACAATGCAACTGTTGACATCAACAGCAACCCGAAGTACTTGAAGATGCCGCCCATGCAGACCATTGCCAATACAAGGTAAGTGCCCTCACATCATCATCATCATCATCCTTCACCTATCCCCTGTCTTTACTCCCACGTCTGTCCTCTCTTACACCCGAAGACCACCCCAGCGCCTCACTGTAGTCCAAGCCCACAAGCTATGGTGGCTGGGCTATGGCGCTGCCCTCAGCAGCGCCCTTCTTCCCTGCACGACCGCACGTGCTGCACCTCGCCTCTCAGCGCCAGCCAGCAGCTGCGAGCTCTTGCTCCAGCAGCGCTGCCGCTAGCATGCGAGTGCCTGAATGAGGCTGCCAGGGGTGATCTCTTTCCTTTATGGAAAGAGCTGGCCTGCTCGCGCAGCCTGGCTGCACTGGCCTGGGCCCAGAAGCTTCCGGAAGGCCCCAGGAGGCTGCTTGTGTACAACAGCTACTGGGCTGCTGGGCCTCCTTCGGTTGGGCACCCAACTGGGAATCACGCCCAGGGCCTGCATTCTTTGGAAAAGCCCGGAAGGCCGTGGAAATGTCTTTGTTGCCCGGCCTGAGTTTCTCTTCAACCAACTGGCGCGTCGCAACTGCCTGGACCCCAAATATGAAATTGACAGTCGAGGGCCTCTTGCAATATGTCAGGCCCGCCTTCACTTAGGGCGGGCACCTCCGCCTTCACTTAGGGCGGGCAATGCTGCAAACAGGGCCCCGTAGGCCTACAGAGGACCCTGATCCTCGCATTTATTTATTTATTTGTTTATTTACTTATTTATTTATTTGTTTATTTATTTATTTGTTTATTTATTTGTTTATTTTTATATTTTTTCAGCCCAGGGTGTTGTAGAGGCCAAGGACTAGACCCATGGTGATCGCTTGCAGGGGCAGCCAGTGGTTGTCCTGACAGGATGGATGTTGCATATTGTAAAGGTGCAGACCAGACCAAGAACCGACCTCTCTCACAAAGTACAAGATAGCGTAGCGGAAGACTTAGATACCAATGATCCGAACAATCAATATTGCAATGCAGCCCCAACATACATCATCATCGTTCCATGGTGTGAAGGGGTCTGGCGCTCACACAGGAAGAATGCGCCAGCCCCAACCATATACAGAGGATGAAGAGGGGGGTTAGACGAAGAAGAGGGGAAGATGGGAATGTCGTCAACACCAAGTCTTCGACACAGGCCCAAATAGTCCCTCGTCAAAATGTGTGAATCCCAATGTCGAGTCTGGATCCAATGTCGTCAAGTCTCAAGTCACAACTCTCTCTCTCTATCGTAGTCCGCTGATACTAAGAAATCAGGTAGTGAGAGGGTGAAGAAGAGATGGTGGACTTAGAAGAGGAAGAAGAAGAACTCTCTCTCTCTCTCTCTCTCTCTCTCTCTCTCTCTCTCTCTCTCTC